TTATATATATATATATATATATATATATATATATATATATATATATATATATATATATATATATATATATATATATATATATATATATATATTACTTTTATTTTCATCATTTTAATTATATGATAATTATTGATGTAAAAATAAAATGTAATGTATTTTAATATGCTATGGCCGAAATTCTAAGGGGAAAAATACAAAACATATTTTGATATTCCACCTAATGATATATTTGATTTTATAATCAAATATTTGATTAACAAAAGTATACTTGTCTTGTTGTGTTGGTTGGGGACATTACACTAATCTCATTTTGTTTTGCCCAAAGCAAATTCTTAGAAATTCCTTAATGTATTATGTTATAAAATGAGAAAAATCCCTCCCCATTTTTAAGAGTGATTTTCGGCCATAGAGAGAGAGGGAGGAGAAAATTATTATTTTGTGTTCCAAGTTATTTTTCTAAAGTGTTAGAAATATACACAAAATATTATAAAGAAATATTTATAAGATAAATATTTTTACTATATATTTATTACTCCCAAAGTAGTATTACTATGTTTTACTATCCTATATTAAACTTGCTAGCACAAGTTTAATCTTGGACTCCGGAGCAAGTTCGTGTGGATACGTTGGAGGCTTCATACGTTTGGCGCTACCTTCATCTCCTCAAAACCATCCCCGACCGTTCCTCCGTTCTCCGTTTTCACCGTTTAGGTAAATTTCTTACTATAGCTAGTAATTTACGTAAGTTGTTCTTGGGTGGAATCGAGTTTTGGACTATAAATTTTTGTTTTCCGCTGCGTTATCCAAGCCTCGTTTCCCAACAGTGGTATCGGAGCCGGCTTACGAAGTTACTAGTTTAGTAGTTTTTACCGTTATTGTTTTTATAGATTAGTCAATAAATTTTGGAGACAAAAATTTATCCCATTATAAAATTAAATAGGTGGCCATATTTAGATACTGGACCTAATATAATTTTGTTCAGTAATTTTCGGAATTACTGTTTGGGGTATTTTTATATTATTCTTATTAAGTAGTTTATGTGTAGAATACTTGTTATTTGTGCCATAAATACTTAATATTTATGAAAATTAGATTTTATATTTTCTGGGATGTATTTGACATGTCAATATAACTCAGAAATTTTAAAATCGATTTTTGGAATTAATTTCCTATTTTTCTATTTTTAAATTCGTTTATTGAATAGAAAATAGGAAAACATATTTTTGACGATCAAAAATTAATTTTATTTCATAATAAGTTGCGACCAGAGATTTTAAGCTTGTATAAAATTTTTCATAGTTTTTAAACACGTAAAAGTATTTATTTTGTATTTTTGAAGTAATTGGATCGGTACTATTCACTAGTCCGATTTTTAATTATTTTAAATTGCAAAATTAATATTTTAAATTCTGGAAAAATCATATTCTGGTTCTGGAACTTATTTTTGACTTGAAAAATAAATTTTGTTATGTTTGGAATTTCGAAATATATTTTCACAATATCATTTCGGTTTTCTAGCTATGGAAAAATGGTTTTCAAAATTTTAAATTTTATTCATTCTGGAACTTTTGGATTTCCAGATTAATAAAGTTTACTGGGAGTCTCCAATAATTATTTTCTAATTTAGAAAACATATATATATATATATTTAATTCGAAATAAAATTCCTTTTTTGAATTTAAATGTATATATACGGTAAATATAAAATATTTTATTTTCTGGAATTTAGAAAAATCAAATTTCTAACATTCTGGAAATTTAACATATTTTATGATTTTTAATTAAATTACTTGCTAGTTTAATTAATTTATTGTTGATAGTTTATTCCGTAGAATAGAATAAACTAGGTCTGGGGCGAGTGCGGTTCGCCCGGTGTATGCTTTAATATGTATGATGTGATGCATGTGATGCTTGTATGTATTATTGCATGGTGGATGTTTGTGGCTTAGTTATATTTGTTGTAATTTTAAATACGGCCTGCGTGTCGTGCCTCATCTCTATACTCTCGATGTAATTTTCTTCTTTACCTCAAATATTCTTTTCTCTCGAAAATTATAAGAAGATAAGAAGATGAAGTCCGTTCGTGATAGAGAATCCTAAGGAAGACGTGATGGGCCGGAGATAGAGATCTCTTTATCAAGGCGCTGTCGTTTGTTTTTCTTTAGGAGCCACAATCATTTCACGTTTACTTATTATGCATGTGATGTATGATTGAATGTATGCATGTATGTGATTTTCGCTAGTGCATACGCGCGGTGTATGCCATAGGCAAGACTGCGTAATAAATCCCTCATAATTTTAAGTCTGTGCCACCCCGACGCCCCGTCACTCGTCAAACCCAATTTAGATCGGTAATGGACTCACCCAAGTGAGACGCCCGGTTTACGTTGGTTAGGCGCGAAACCCGTAATTAGGGTACTGACTCACCCCGGGTTAGTCTTAACTAAGTCTTGGTCATAAGGATGAGAGACTTAGGGCACTGCGGTAGGATCAATAAATAAAATCAGATCATCCAACCAGAGTTGTAAATTGTTACAATTGGAATTTATTCCTACCAGAAATAATTTAACTGTAGGGCAAGATGCAAAGCACAACTATAGTTAAATGAAATATGGATCTGACCCAATTAAGAATTTTATTTAAAAGAATCCACCGAACCAAGAGTTGTAATAACGATTGCAATTGGAATGAATTCCTACCTAAATAACTTGACTGTAGGGCAAGATGCAAAGCACAACTATAGTTAAGTAAAATATGGATCTTGGCCCGCTAGGGTATTCTTCAAATAGAAACCCCAAGTCAATAGGTTCCGTACCTGAGGGTAATTGACTTGTTAGAAATAGTGGGAGAGTATTTAATAAAGACCTATTAGATACTTAATTCATGATAATAACTATCTTCGCAAAATTCTGTAGATGGCAAACAACAACACAAACAACCTCGCCCTGCGTTCCATTCTGGATAAAGATAAATTGAACGGAACAAACTTTGTTGACTGGCAACGCAATCTCTCCATTGTTCTCCGCATGGATGAGAAAGAGTATGTGCTCGAAAAGCCCATTCCTCCTGCCCCTCCCGCTAACGCCCCGAAAGCGGT